CCCTCCCCGTCTTCTCTCCCCCTCCCTGTCTTCTCTCCCCTCCCTGTCTTCTCTCCCCTCCCTGTCTTCTCTCACCTCCCTGTCTTCTCTCCCCTCCCCGTCTTCTCTCCCCCTCCCTGTCTTCTCTCCCCTTCTCCCCACTTCCCTTTTCACATCTTCTCTTTCCTTTCCTTTTCTCATCGTTTCTGCCTCTAACTAGCAAAGGGATGGGAGCAGTTCACATGTCCCCCAGCAGGAGGGTGCTTAGATAAAGACTGAAATTTGACAGTGGGCTGTGACCTGAGACCCAGAAGCACACAGCAGGCTGCCCTCTGTGTGGAGCACCATTGGTCTTAGGCCACACCGATCTTCGCTTTTATCTCTGTGTGAAAACTCCACAGTGTCCCTGAGACCCCCTTCAGAGCAGGGGTAGGTCAAGGCTGGGAGGTAACATCTCACCTTTTGGTCACAAAAATTGGAATCAACTACAATTATCAGACTTCTGTACAACTTGGTTTTCTCACTCTACAATGCAGCAGCCCCCCCCCCCCCAAAAAAAAAAAAGATCTGGTTGAGCTGCAAACTTATATTGGAAAATGTGGGCAGAAACATGCCTATAATTTATTTCACTTTCTCTCTGCATGTGTTCTGAATCTGGATTGAGCTCTTACATCGGAACAAGGCTCCATTGCCCAGGAGAGTTTCCAGTAACCTCCTCTCAATCCCTCAGGTGTTTGCCCTGATGTTATCTGCTGCCGCCTACCTCCTCTCCTGGCTCTATAGGAATAGCCTGCTGTGCTGTCCCCATGGGCCCTTAAGCCTGAATGAACTGTGCAGAGGTGCCCCGGTGATACGCTTAGTTTATAGTCCACTATAAAGGCACCGATGAAGAAGAACGTCAGGGGAAGATTAGGTTACGGTATCTGGACCAACATCAAGGTCTTCCCACAGTACTTCCGTCAACCTCATGGGCACTCCTCTTCTCTGACGGCCCTGGAGTGACACCTGCCTGTTATGTGTTTTGTGCCACGTCTTCTGTGTCTTATCCTGCTGTCAACAGCCGGGCAGTCCAGCATGCAGGGCAGCACACAGGAGGAAAACTGCTTCCCTGGCACCTGGTTGCCTATGAAAGAGACAAGGTTTCCTTTTTCTTTTTATTTATTTTATTTTATTTTATTTTATTTTATTTTATTTGGTTTTTTGAGACAGGGTTTCTCTGTGTAGCTTTGTGCCTTTCCTGGAACTCACTTTGGAGACCAGGCTGGCCTCGAACTCACAGAGATCCGCCTGGCTCTGCCTCCCGAGTGCTGGGATTAAAGGCGTGCGCCACCACCGCCCGGCCGAGACAAGGTTTCCTAATTGAAGAAGCCAGGTGACAATGTCACCAGGTGTTAGGTTGACAATGGGGTTTTTGGCTGCTGTGTGTCTGAAACGCTGTTTGTCTCTGTTCCGTGTATTTCAGGTGTGAAGGGCTGGTCACATTGTCAGGCTGGCTCTTCACTGCCACCTGGAGGCCACATTTGGAATGGCTTCTGGACTCACTGCTGTGGTGGGCCATACTGAGCTGAGATGTGAAACCTACTGCAAGAGATGATGATAATAAGCTTTGGGAAGTGAGGACAGGCCTGGCCAGAGAAGCAGTGTGGCAACAGGTGCTACCAGCCACCAAGCCATCAGGCTAAACACTGGGTCCCCTAGTTCAGACTGCCTGCTTCCAGGAGCTCTGCTCGGTGCCTGGCTATCACCTTCTTCTCCAAGGTCAGTGGTTCTCAGTGCCGAGAGCAGTATCCAAACTGAAGCCTCGTCACCTAACTGCAAAGTATAGACAGAATCATCTGCTGCTGCCAGCTTGTGGTCATTGGGCCTGGGCACTGAGAACAGCAAACCGCCCCAGACAGACTTCCTCTAGGGCAGCTGCTAGTATGGACTGGTATGTCAATATTCCTTGTCACATAGGCTCTCCATTCTGTTCACTGATTGTTATGATTGCTATAAAGTAATCCATAGATCTAGTGACCTCTGGACCTTGTTTTGATTTGCAATTAGAGGTTTCAATGGGGCTCAAGTCAGGGGGCCTGGCTGGTTCAAACCTAGGATCTGGCTCCCAAAGGGCATGAAGGGATCCTTTGGGATCCTGATGGATCCTTTCTAGCCCTCTTGCTTGTCTCCCAGCCTCCCCATCTCCTGGAAGCTCCCTTTCCCTGGAGTCTAGAAGAGAGCTTTGGATATCTGCAGCTGTGTGGTCAAATGTACACGTGATTCCTCAATTTCAGACACACAGGACACTGCCCAGAGGAGCTTCTTCCAATCTATCATCCCCCCATGGTGATAAACAATGTTGGCTGGCAGCTTAGGGGCCTTTGAACAGGGCCTCAGGCTTCTCCCAGAGCATCATCACACTGCAGGACTCCCAGGGTAAGCACTCAATATGGGACTCAAAGGGTAAGTCCCATGGTGCTCCTAGGGTAAGTGCTCAATATGGGACTCAAAAGATAAGTCCCATGGTGCTCCTAGGGTAGGTACTCAAGAGTATAACCCCACCCAGTGAAGCTCACTCACACCCAAACTCACAACTCACAACTCACAACAGACCCAGGCACCGTGAGTGCTCACCACACTTTCCTACAGAGGACAATCTGGGTGAAGTCCTCTGCTTTAAAGGCCAAAGCTATTCAGGGAAAATGCAGATGTCAGGAAACAGCGTTCTTCACCCTCTTCCCCGTGAATAGAGAAAATGGTCAGAAATAATGCCAAGAGCCCAGTTAACTCTGTAGGGTGAGACCACAGCTCTGCAGACTGGTCAGGGTCATCAGGAGTATGGGGATGTGCCAGGGACCCCTTGAGGTTAACCTGCTGTAGGCTAGGGTTAGAGGTGAAAAGCGTTCCCCAGGCTAACTTCATTCCACACACAGCTTCTTAGGCCTGCATCTGGCCACTGCATTCCTATCCCTCTCAAAAACACCCCTGCAGGGCCCAAGGGTGGATCTGATTTCATAATTTGTTCTTTCTCCTTCTGATTATGCTCTTACGAACAGGCCAGAAATATTCTATGTGTTCTTCATTTCGTGTGTGTGTTTCCTTCTTGTGTGTGTGTGTGTGTGTGTGTGTGTGTGTGTGTGTGTGTGTGTGTGTGTGCGCGCGCGCGCGCAAGTGCATAGAGAAATCTACGGTTACAGCAATTGGGTCTGTCTGAACTTAACCTCACTCAAATCAGTCTGTGAGCTTAAACAAACGCAACGCTTCCAGGAACACTCAGAGCCTGATCCGTCATGGGGAACAAGCCACCTGTCCTGCACTCATTTCTAAAGACTTGAACTCGTGTGCGTGTGCGTGTGCGTGCGTGTGTGTGTGTGTGTGTGTGTGTGTGTGTCTGTGTCTGTGTGTGTGTGTGTGTGTGTGTGTGTGTGTGTGTGTGTGTGAATAGGAATGGTACGTGCTCCCAAGAGGAAGCCCTGTGCCGAGCAGCAAAGGAAGCATTGGGCTGTCTGTCCACCAGACCTGCGTGGTACCTGCCTGAGTGTGTGGTGCCCTCAGGGGCTTCCAGGCCATATCAGAAGAAATGCTGTTTATTTCGCAATGAAGTATCATAAACCTATTTAAGGAAACACTGAGCATATTTTCAGAAGTGGCTCATCAGACATGCAATTCTGCCAACCCCCAGTTGGCATGTTTGTGGACACTTCCTGCTCACGCTTGGACTGCTCCTGTGACAGTGGTTACTGAATATGAACAAGTGTGTCCACTTTTCATTAACTGGGGTGTCTTCCTTGAGGATAAGGTGTGGTCTGCTCTAGGAACTGTCATGGTGTTCACACAGTGTCTCGGGATAGGGAATCCACCATCTTTACCGGTTCCTCCACCAACTGATGGAAGCACCTGAGGAAGAGCAGGGCGGGGCGGTGGCAGTTCATGACCTCAGAGTTTCTGCTTGCTTACTTTGCTTTCTTGTC